TCTCTCTCTCTCTCTCTCACTCTCCCTCTCTCTCTCTCTCTCTCTTTTTTTTCTTTCGTTCTCTTACAAATGTTTCTCACACTTACTTACTTACACATTGACATCCCTACAAATACGTAAAACATCTGAATTTATAATATTGTATCAGCAGACATTACTTCATCACAATCGACAGAAACAGCAAGACAAACACTACAACCACACCAAGAATGAAATAAACAAAATAATTACGAAAGTAAATGTAAACTTGGAACGTATACAAACCAGAAATCCGAGGGTTGAGAGTAATCCACTGGCTTATATCCATCGTGGCAAATCGGCACAAGGTTTTTTAATCCAATGACTGAAGAGAACAGAATACTCTTCCCATAGCACAAAATATGGAGAGGAACCAAAACTTCTCCAACAGAAGGTATCGCAGCGAAGCTGGTTTCTTATTAAAACATTCCAAATTTTATTACATCACGGGACACAGCTCCTCTGTCATCGTCCTGCTTGCAACAAGTGTAATAACATTTAAAGTTGTGTACTCTCGTTTTGCCAAGCACATTCAGATTTGTATATCCAAAGGATGTCCGAAAGAAATGTGAATGGGCACCAAAGTCTTTTCATCTACTGTTTTAACATTCTAGGTGGACCCAGTCTTCGTTTCTGAAGAAGTCTGAAAACTGTCTTCGGTTCTTTCGAGATTGATTAAGAATGCGTGCGTTTTGAGTGCAAGGGAAGGGCGGGCCTGTGACTTCTATTTCCTTTTAGTTTTGATAAAGTTGTCGAGGGGATCCTTGCAAGAGAATAAGAAAGCAATCCAGATCACTACATATAACAAGACATTCCCTAGGACCGTCCGACAGCGGTATGGAGGAGTTGTTTACCCCTTAGCCCATTGACATCAACATTAGCGTACTGACATTTCATTGAAGCCAAAAACCAAAAATTCGTATTCGAAATTAATCGGAGTTAATCGGAGTTAATTGGAAAAGTAAAAAGGTATACTATTTATATAATTCCTAAAATATGTCCCCTACATGACTGTTAGTGTTGTTCAACATGGCGACACAATATCTCCCATGGTAGGGTACAAGGGAGTTTTGCAGCATCTGTTTTTGTAAATCATGATTTGGACAGGGGTGTGGTTCTGGAGTTGAATAAGAGTGAAAGCATACCACGCAGAACAACAACAGAAACAGCAACAGCAACAGAAACAGCAACAGCAACAGCAACTGCGGCAACAACAACAGCAACAACAACAGTAACAACAACAGTAACAACAACAAACAATAACAACAACAACAACAACAACAAATACAACATTAATAACGATAACAATGTTAATATCAACGTTAGCTACAACAGCAGCAGCAGCAACAAGAACGAAAGAATCAGTAACAATAACAATAGCAACAACCACTGCAAAAACAACAACAACAACAGCAGCAGCAACAACAACAGGATATGAACAAGTCTAACACTGGAAAAAGCAGACACATCATACTTTTCACTCAGAGCAACTTGCTGAGCTCGGTCGGTACTAAACACTCGGCGGGTTCGATCTTCAAAAGCAGATCGATATTCACTTCAGCTGCGCTCAAATCCCTCTCTCAGACCTCCACTGCTGAAACAACTTTGAACAGAATTGAAAAGGACGTAACAGCCCCAAACAGATTCAACGATAAATCGGCAACTAGCACGGAAAACCCAACTGGAGAACACAAACCGAATGAAACAATCCAATAAAAACAAGCGGGTCTTAATGAGCTGAGGAAACTTCGAGTTGGCGCGTCGATACCGTAAGCAAATAGTCGGAGAGCTCCCC